GGCCATTTCGAGAAGAAAGCGGCGTGCGCTACTTCGAAGAAATTTAGACGAGTAACATCCGTCAAATGTAATCCCATAAATTTTCATATATTTATAGTTTTACTTTTAGAGATACGCCACAAGTTTCCTGGAGTTGTATGTAGAATAATTTTGATTTTCAACACGTGATTCAATTGTACTCATAATATATAATTTAGTTTGTGAATCGTTGACTGTTTCCAAATTTAGAATCAACAATTATACTCATAGATTACTAATATACTTATAAATTGGTGACCATATCGATGAAAAATATTAGTAGTAGCGTATCTTTTATAAAATCAAATTTTGTTTGTAATTTAGTTTGCATGGGCTGTTAGGGAGTGTTCACGTATTACGTAAGCAGCCGAGGGGAAGGTTGTTTGGAAAATGGAAATTGGAAATGCTGACGGTTGGGGTAGCCAAAAACTTGATGACGTAATATGTGAAAGATCCCTTTGTTATAAACTCTATTTTTCAAAAAGTAATTTTAGTAGTTTGAGACGTTTCTACTGATGTCAGATAAAATTATCATAGCATGTTCATTGTTCGATAATTAGAATTGATTATTGATTATTTATTTCATCAATAAATATTATGTAAACCAAATCTTTTCCCTAGTGACGAAATAAAAAAGTCGTAACTTGTTATTCACAACGGCCAGGTAGCTCAGTTGGTTAGAGCGCAGTTCTTAGAACGCCAGCAATCGTGAGGTTGCAAGTTCAATACCCGCTGTCTACCTAGTCGTGGGGTGAGCGTCGTCGACGTTCTGCTAAGGATCCCATATAGGATTTATGCAGCCTCCCGGTCCACCCATACCAGCCGAATGCTCGAGAAATCGTGTGTGAGGGTTAAATGGGGAGCTGTGCAATATAGTACAGCGAAAAAGCAAAAACTCAATGGATGGTTACCGTAATGGGTGCCACATGCCTAGCATGAAATATTTACCTACTTTAACTTACTTGCACTTGTGTAGGTCTGTAGAAGCATTAGAATCGGGCGTTGCCTGCCACAGGCTATCCCGAATTTAGAAGCTTGCGTTCATCATTTGTTATTCACAACGAAATTCAATTTCCAGTGAAAAAATTACAATATCTCAGCTTTTAATTGCAAAATAAAAATACCGTCATGACGGTATCAGCCACCGTTCTCGTATCAGCCACTGCGATACCTTATTCGACTGCAGATTGGATTTAGGCAGATTGGATCTGCCTAAATTTGATTATTCGACTGCTTTTGGACGGTTATAGTTGGGTTAGCTAGTTAGAATAAAATGTCGGCCCCCAATTGTTAATGATATGGTTTAATTATACATATCATAAATGGTTTGTTATAGCTGTGGTCAGTTTACTACCGCCCTCATCAGATAAACATTTCACGTGTGGCAATGCAATTGTTTCATATTCTAGCTCAAACTTAGCTCTCATAGCTTCAAAGTTTTATCGGTTTTCAAGAAAACAACAATTTCAAAGTTTGGCACCGGTAGTCTCTTAGTCTTCATAAGTTTCACGTCTTTTAATACTATGTGAACGACCCTTTGGCGATACTGGAAGAACAACACTCCTACCGAGTGTTCCTGTCATGCCTACCTCACCTGTCAAATAATTCCGTATGCCTTAGCTCCAAACCCCACAACCACCCTGATGACAACGCTGCTCCACAGAACCGTGAAGTCCTCTCCTCACTCATCACTGAAGGAAAGCTACTGAACAGACATTGTCGGTGACCCAGAACCTCATCTCTGAAGTCCTAGCAGATTCAACCTCAGAAGCCAATCAGACGTTACCAAACATGGAATCCCTCGCTCGGATGGTACAACGCAGTAGAGCCACAGCGTCCGGATCTGCACAGCACATGGAATGTTTAAAGTATCTCCAGAGGTTCTTAGTTGTCGGGGATATGTAATGATTGGTTCTTAGTTGTTGGAGCTGATTGCATTTCCCAAGCTAGCATGTTAATTAGTTAACAAGGTAAAATTGACAGGCTCTTAGTTGTCCGTCAGCCAAATAAATCAGCTGCGACCTCCGTGCTGAATGCTGATGATATTTTCTTTAGTACGTTCTCTAATCTCTGAAGCTTATTTTGAACTTGAAGTTGAATTTCGATTTTGAACAATTTTATCATAGTTTTTAATTTTTATCCGGTCATATACGTTTTCATTTCAAATCTAAGCATTGTCTATGTCACTATCTGCCCTAGATAGCGTCAACAAAATATTAAGCTTTAAAATCAAAATTCCATTCCAAAATAAAAAGTTTACCATTCTGCTATTATCGGAGGTTTAATCCGCTGAATCTGATTTATTAAAAAGCTAGCGACAATGTTAATGACCTGTGACTCTTTTGGTTATCCTCGCTCTTGGTCTGGCAAGTGCAGAAAATATTACGGGAAAACCCAGGAAACCTTACTGGTACTGGTAGGGGCCTAACTTCGAAAATAAAAGAGATAGAAACGTCTGGTTTTCAACAAAATGTTCGCCTTGTAAAAATAACGTTTCCTCCCCAGGAGGAAAATTCAAAACAATGTAGACTTCGACTTATCGCGAAAATTCATATTTTAGGCCTTATAAAACTGCTCAGCTTTAACTTTGCGGATTCTTGTTCTTTGATTGGCTGAATCGTATCACGTGGTACAATTGCATTCTTGGAATAATCGAAGCGTGCAAATGCAATGAACTAACGAGCGCGCGCGGAGTTCAACAAGCTGTGAAGAGGCGATGATCACCTGTAGTAATATCGCCAGCCAGTAAGGTCTGCTGGGTATGAGAGAGCCGAGAAGCTGCAAAAGAAGAGGGCACACGAAAGGGGGAGGGGGGGGGTTTATTTTAACGGGAAAAAGTATGAAATTTTAAAAGTCGATTTTGAGAGTGGAGATCGCGTTTTTACTACCCCATTCAGCAGTCCCCTTTTTTGTTGACAAAATTCTTTAGTTTCTTTTGGTATATTAAAATTGAAATTTGACTTAGTTGATGTTAACGGGTGATACTCGTAAAATATCTGTTCCATATATTGGACCGTCGACGAGTCCAACTCGGCGCGCGTCCTGGTAGGTTGTAAACCTACAAATAAACCTACAAAGTTGATGGCGAGTTATGCTTTGTCAATAACTTATTATAACTAGTCAAAGTGGTTGCTTTTAAAAATGAAAGCGAAAGTCTTTAAACTGCGCGTTTTATTGGTTTTATAACGGAGAATGGGATTCCGCACGTGCCACGATTTTCTTTTGTCCTTGTAGAAAACATTTTTGATAGTCACTCAGACATGGACACCGTATTTTGTGAAGTATTTAGTTACATCTTTTGCAATAATCTTACAGCATAGGATTATAAGAACGCGGGGTAGTAATTAATACTATGTTTCGTTTCGACTTTTAAAAATATAACTTATAAACTAAACTCGTTTTGTATCGTTTTTTTTCAAAATGTGGTTAAGAACGTTTTTATTCCGAAATCCACCGTTTTAGTAGGAGGTGCACGATAAAAATAAACTTGCTCGGATTTTAAAAATTTTTGTACCACTGTTTTCTAGAGACTGTGAGAATTTTCACAATACCAAATTTGTCATACCTTTTTTGGAAAGATCAGTGAGTTTCACCTAGGTGCCATATTTGATGGTGCGCGGCTTTTGGAGCAAAAGTAGTTGTAAAAGTCGCGTAATTTGACCAAATTCGTCCAAATTTGACCATTTTTGTCGTATTATTCGGATTTATTTCCAGTTCCTTAAATGAGATCATTCTGTAAATTGGCGACGACCTTCCAATAGGGCTTTTACAACTGTCCGAAAAATTTGGTGGATATCGGAGTTGATATAGTGATCAAAATGGGGCAAAATACGCTGCTTTTAGCTGTAACATAATGTTTGATGGTTGGATATGCTTTAAATTTTTCGGACACTTTCCTTGTAAGTCTATGAGTAAGCTTACCAATTTTTGTTGCAATTAGAGGTCGGGAAGGATACTTTTCATTAAATTAATCGGGAAATCGAAGCAGTACTTTATATATGATATAACCATTTATTATACTAGATAAGAGTCTTACTTATGAGTCCCCAGCTGGCACATTGGTGCAATTGTCCTGACATTTGAGACAGGTTGAATATCCAAAATGTATTCCTGCTTTTCTGCATGAGCCATGAACAAGCATTGCCACAACCTGTCTTTAAACAGTTGCAACTGATGAATCGAATGGGCTTTTTCGGAGCTGTACTCATGCATAAGAGTGGTCACTGGTACATGCGCCCCATTGTTCATCGGATTCCGAATCACCCCCCATGACGTAGGGTAAAATTAAAAATGCTTCCCTGGAGAGTTATGGGCAAAAAACCGTTTTGGTCACGTGACAGGCTAGTAAAACATGAATTCGAGTGTTTAGGGCTCGGTTTAGGGTTAGGGTTGTGGTAAGGGTTATGGATAGCTTCGGGGTCATGGTTAGGGTTAGGGTTAGGATTAGGGTTTATGTAAAACCGTTTTGTACGGCTGCAAAACCATAAAAACCAAAGTCACGTGAAATTTTTGGGCGAGCGAATTAGTAAGAGCCTTGCCTGCCACAGGCGATCCCGAATTTAGAAGCTTGCTTTCATCATTAGTTTGATAATTTCAGTTTTAAGTTCAATTTTTTGCATAATTTTTGATTTTGATAATTTCAGTTTTAAGTTCTTAAGATCGGGAGTAAATATTACCTTATAGTTATACCTTACAATTGCACGTGATCGGGAGTTAATATTACTTTATACCTTACAACTGCGCGCACGTCTTCCACTATTAAATCCGTGTTGCCGAGATCGCTCCGTCAACTTGGAAGATATACATATCCGTAAGTTTTCCTAATATTAGGCTATTATTAGGAAACTATTATAACCGCATGCGGGCCATTTGTCAAAAGATGCTTAACTCATAGTTTCTTTATCTCATGAATCTAATACGCCATATTAATTGAAATGGTCAGCGACTATTAAAACTGATATTTATTAACATTGCATCTACAGTAGCCTAAAGTAAACAAGCTAAAATGAATATAGCAATAGCTATAATAGTGGCAATGGTGGCAATGGTGACCTCTGGAGTTGCAGTTACTGCTAAATGGCAAGCTATACCAGGAAGTCTGACTCGTATCTCCAAAGGAAGATCTGGCGTGTGGGGTGTTAACAGGAGAGGAAATATCTACAAGCTTAACGGAAAAAGCTGGACTCGAATACCTGGTAACTTAGAACACATTTCGTCTGGTGGTTCGTCTGTATGGGGAGTCAACAAACATGGTCACATTTATAGAGATGCGGGTCACAACAAATGGCAGCGAATACCTGGTTCACTTACCAATCTTGATGTCAGTGACAACGGTCATGTTTGGGGAGTTAAAAAAAATCAGGATATCTATAGATGGACTGGAAAGAACTGGCAGCACATTGGAGGAAAGGCCATACAAGTTACCGTGGGACCATCTGGAGTTTGGATAGTCAACAGAGCAAATAATATTTACTATCGAAAAGGAACATATGGAGATAGCAATACTGCTGGATCTGGATGGATCCAAATTAGTGGCAACTTGAAGTGGATATCGTCTGGTAGGAATATTGTTGTTGGTGTTGACTCTGGCAACAACATTTACTACCGTGAAGGAATGAGGGCTCCAAGACCGACAGGTACTGGATGGGTACAGATACCTGGAAAATTGATGCAGATAGATATCTATGGAGATGAAATTGTTGGAGTGGACACTGGACATGTAATCTACAAATTTCCTGTTTCTGGATTTCCTACCACAGCTAAAAAAACAGTCGGTATGTAAGCAAGTATATTGATGTCAATAAGTGCTCATATGTATGTTTATTGGTTGAAACATTACCTTTTGGAATTTTAGGACCAATTCTGTAATTTTGATTGGGGAGGTTGATAAAATAGTCGTATATCATTTTTTAAGCGCTTAATCTTATATATTATTCAACTTTTTCTCAAAAACTTGCTTTCACAAATTTCACTCTTTAGGAGCAATAATCCCAAAAACTCATTTGACTTGAGTGTGAAGACTGCCTATATCCTACAAATACCGATACTAGAGCTTCTAACTAAATAATTCAGTTTAACTTCAATTATTAAATTTGAATCATTATGTAAAACTTAAAGCCTGTGGGAGAAATTAAAAACTTTATCATACTTCCTACGGTACATTTTTCTTCAAACATTTTTGTCATAGTCGTTAATGACAAAAAAATTTGAAAAAAAAGCGAGCGACCGATTTCATTCTCGGTATCATTTTGCATTTGATAACGGTCATTCAAATTGATATCATTGCCTTTTGTTTGGGAAAGAAAGCCACTGGCAGCGGTCCACTCTACCCATGATTATGGGTTTTGTTCAAATATCATCTCTTTTTGATTATAATGTCAGGGTACTTTATAAAGTCGAAATATAAACTGATATCTTCATTAATAAGGAGGAAGTTTCAACGATTTCGAAATTTTTCCTTTAAAAACGTTTCCTTGTGTTTAGGTAAGCATATCGAGCATTATAAGTTCTCGTTACTGATAACCGTAGGCCAATAGATGTTGATTATCTGTCTCAGATGCTTCCTTTGAAGAACGTCGACAGATGCCATTACGGTTTCAGGAGCAGCCCAGCTGCTACAGTTATACAACAACACTGAAGTGACAAGAGCTTCGTACAACTTCAGCTTTCTACTCTCACTGATCTGAACAGAGCTATTCAACCAGACTTTCTTGTAGGTGTAGAAGGCAACATTGGCTTTGTTGCGTCTGTTGACAATATCTCTTTCTGAACAGAGCTTTGATCCTAATAGCACTGACTCTCGCCACTCTTCATTTCCTCTGATTTTATTGCCATGGGCATCTAAAGCATCGATCGCTGTGACTGACTGAATATGCCACTTAATACTCATTCAAGTTGGCATTAAATTCATATATAATGACATTAAACTGTCGTGGCAAAGCAGAATTTGTTGGAAATCACGAATGAGCAAAATGGTCACCTTTCGCACGTGCAAACTTTGAGCGGACGTTGCGTGCGCATCCAATATTGAATCACCGTAAATTTTTGCATGTAATTGTTTTATATATAGTTTGATAAGCATGCAAAGTTTAAAAGTATTTCAAGAAAACTGTAATCACAACGGTACTCTAAAGTTGACAGAAAATGACGAAAACAGCAATTTTCAGTGATTTTAGCAATTTTCTTTCAATTTGGGCGTGTCCCCACGTGTGCAACTTTTCGATTTTCAACTTTAAAACTAGCCTAATGCACAATTTATACCTATAGAAAGCAGAACTGAGCTCCACAACCCAAGGCATGGCCCAACACCAGAGAATACTAAATCGCAAAATTGACGTTTTTATAAAATATTTCTTCAAAAAAGCACAAACTTCAATCTACGGACACTTGAATATAGCTTATAATTGACTGGCAAAGCGTCTATCCCTGAATATATGTATGTATGTATCACGACAATCTGTCGTAAAACAGGGATTCTAGAAAACCCATTTCCCGATGCTCCTGAAACTTGAAACTTTTTTTTCCAGTCGATTTGGTCAACGTCTAGACGCCCTGCAAAGTTTCAGAATTCTAACTTAATTTTAACATGGTTTTTAAGGCACCTGAATATGGCGATTTTGGGTTTTTACCGAATTTCGTATAACATGCTGGCGCGTATTTTGCGCAAATTTCTTAAAAACCTCCACATAACTATTTTTTATTCCCGTCATCTTTAACATTGAATTAGAATGTTTTGAACTTAAACATACCTGCTGAACTACTTTCGATGAGTCTTAATGCCTGAAAAACAATAAAGGGGTATAATAGTAAAGGGGATATAATATATAGTAAAGGGGGTATAAAAGTAAAGGGGGTAAATAGTAAAGGGGGTAAATAATAAAGGGGGTAAATAGTAAAGGGGTTAAATAGTAAAGGGGGTAAATAGTGTTGTGAATATAAGAGGCACGGTCATGCTTGCCAGCATTGTGATTTACGTCATGCTTACGTATTTAAGCATGTTTATTATTTATCATTAATTATTATTAATCAACTATATACACCAAACACAAGATAATAGGAAATAAATCATAAAATCGAGTGGCCGAGTAGTCTCGACTCACCCATAGCTTCTCCATAAACGTCTATCATGAGCTTTGTACACTAAATCGTTGAAATTACTTAAACTAAATCTTTTATTTACAATCACAATTATATTCTTCGTCATAATGTCTTTTAATAATAAATCAAATAAATTTGAACGAGGTCTGCCCCTCCTTCCTTTGTAGTCAAGACATCCTAAACATGTAAATCTAAAAGATAAGAAAGCGGGAGTGTCATCACCGCTTCTGAGAACGTGCCCAAGCATCTTCCATCGTGCTTTCTTGATCCTTTCAGTAAGGGGACTGACATTACATCTCTTATATAGCGTTCGATCTGATTACATCTTGAAACATTCATTACCTCAACCTGCTGGCATTGAGAAATCCTGGCAATCCTAATTAACAACGTATAACTATAAGACTATACTTTATTAAGACTGAATACTGGTTCGAAAAGGAAGTTATGACGCCATGACTCATATCACGCGACGCGCGTTACGCGTGGTTTGATGATTGATCTGCCATGAGACTGTGGGATACTGAAGGGAAAGGAAGCAGTTCTAATGAGCGCTTCTCAAACACAAGGATATATCTTGTGAACTTGGCTAGTATATATGAAACATTTGACACGGAGTTGCAGAGTGAGCTATGTGCCTTGCCGGGCTAAAGTAGTGAATGTCCTTGCTGTACGGCAAGTTAAACAAGGAACTGAAACTACTAGGTTCCGTACAGGCTCAACTCTGCACCCGTGTCAATATGATCATTATATGCAAGCCTCTTGATTTATAATCACCGGGTCTAGTAATTGTTTAAGAGAGTTCTCTGGCAGTTACGAAGCTCGAGAGACTGTGGGATACTGAAGGGAAAGGAAGCAGTTCTAATGAGCGCTTCTCAAACACAAGGAAATATCTTGTGAACTTGGCTAGTATATATGAAACATTTGACACGGAGTTGCAGAGTGAGCTATGTGCCTCGCCGGGCTAAAGTAGTGAATTTACTTGCTGTACGGCAAGTTAAACAAGGAACTGAAACTACTAGGTTCCGTACAGGCTCAACTCTGCACCCGTGTCAATATGTTCATTATATGCAAGCCTCTTGATTTATAAGTTCTCGTTACTGATAACCGTAGGCCAATAGATGTTGATTATCTGTCTCAGATGCTTCCTTTGAAGAACGTCGACAGATGCCATTACGGTTTCAGGAGCAGCCCAGCTGCTACAGTTATACAACAACACTGAAGTGACAAGAGCTTCGTACAACTTCAGCTTTCTACTCTCACTGATCTGAACAGAGCTATTCAACCAGACTTTCTTGTAGGTGTAGAAGGCAACATTGGCTTTGTTGCGTCTGTTGACAATATCTCTTTCTGAACAGAGCTTTGATCCTAATAGCACTGACTCTCGCCACTCTTCATTTCCTCTGATTTTATTGCCATGGGCATCTAAAGCATCTGTCTCTGCCAAATACACTCTTGTAAACACCGTCTTTGATTCGTTAACAAAGAGACTCCAGTCCTTTAGTATGTCACTGGCAATCTCTAGTATCTTCACCAGGCTCTGACCATCTTCACTAAGAAGCTCAGCATCGTCAGCATAGGCGGACTCTAACGGGAGGCCTCTATCAGAGACTAGGGGGTTCGGTCTAGGAATTGTGACACTGATCACGGCTCTGATGTGATTTAGGGCACCGGCAAGGGTCAATGTAAACACTTTACCTGCCAGACTGTCTCCCTGGTAAGCTCCAATATTAATCACGAATTCACCAGACTCAGCTCTGTTGACCGTCACCTTGAGCTTTGTATTTGAGAGGAGGTACTGAACCAGGCGAATGTCGTCTCTAGAGCATCCTGCATCAATGAGGAGGTTGATGATGGTCTGTCTGCGGATGGTATTAAACGCAGCGGTCATGTCAATGTTGATTTTACTATACTCAAACTCGCGCCTGGTAACCACTGATGTCAACATTCTCTGAGACCAAACCAGGTCAGCACAACTGCGACCCTGCTTGTATGCCGCCTGCCAAGGTCCAGTGTACATATCAACGTTGTAATTGATTCTGTTCAAGGCTACGAGTGATAGGACTTTACTAGTTCCATTTAGCAATGTGAGGGGCCAGATAGACTTTACCGGACCTCGGGGTTTTCCTGGCTTCTAAAGGGGTGTCAGGATACCTTCTCCAATAGCTGGGATGTATGTGTTGGTCTCAAAGGAGAGATTGTAGATCCTAGCCAACTCACAGTGGAGGGGATATCCAGCAGCTTTCATTAGCTCATTAGGTATACCATCAGGGCCACACGCTCTACCGGATTTCAGCTTCATAACAGCACGGCCAACTTCTTCAGGTGTTATGGGACAGAGGAGGCTTCCAGGAGGGTCTATGAATGCTGAGAGGTGGGGTTCATCTTTGTCATTGAACTCATTATTAAAGTATTCTTTAATAGCTTCTGCTTTTAATGAGTCAGAACCTAAGGTGTTCCCGTCTGCATCGTGGACAGTCACTCCATCTTTCTTCATCCTACACTGGGCCAAAGTTCTATTCGCTTCAAACATGCTTCTGTAGCTGTCGGTGTTGTTGATGACATCTACTAGGGCGTTAGCAGTGGCCTCGTTGATAGATTTCAACCTCTTTTTGATGGTACGTTTGAGATGGTTGATTCTTTTTCTGAGGTCACTCCTGTCACTTATTCCTGTGAGGCTACATTCTTGCTGAAGGGACTTTCTCTCTGCTGAAAGTTTAACGACAGTTGAATCGTCGCTGTACTGATGAGGCTTCCCCAGGGGCACTTTACCAACCACCTGGACGGCACATTTACTCAATATACCAAAAATATCAGAATTTTCAGAAATAGCATTATTAGTTAAAACTCTACAATCAATATTACTTTTAAAAGAATCAAAAAATTTAGACTTAATATCAGAATCATTAAGGCGATTGACATCAAACCTTATTTTGTCAGACCTGGGCCGCTTATGTACAATGTATTCATAACCAAGTTTAAAACGCGCGACCACAGGTTTATGGTCAGATTTCACAAAATCACCGCAAAAAGAGCGGGAGTCTGTTAAACAGACTTTAAAGTTAGTACGACATAAAATATAATCAATTTGTTTAAAATAGTTCACAGTGTCTTTTGAACCCTTGGGTCTGCCCTTGGGAACACATCTAGCCTTCCAGGTGGTAATATACTTCGCTCTGTGTTGGAACGCAGTATTGCACGCAAACAGACCATTATCAACAATAAAGTCCAGTAGAAACTCACCGTTCCTGTTTCTCAGACCATTACTGTCTTTCCTTTACATTTACCATCACCATCTTTCCTACTGCATCTCCCAAGTCGGGCGTTAAAATCTCCAGCAACAAACAAATCGTATCGAGCTGGAATATTGATAGCAGTTTTCAGATCATTGAAATATGATTGTAACAATGGGGAGTTACCTGTGACCTTACTGATGTCATCATCGACAATCTTCTTGGTTGGTCCGTACACGTTAACGATCCTGATCATACGATGAGATCCGTTGGGTTCTGTGAGTCTTATATCAATGAAAGCCACTCTGTTACTAAGTGATCTTCATGCAACAATAGAAGGTACAAAGACTGGGCAGATTAGAAAACCGAGACCATAATGATACCAATTGTCTGATTGGGCTAGTGTTACAAGTTTGTGACCGTCAATAATTGTTTTCCTTACAACTAGTAAATAGATATTGTGACGTTTTTTTCTTTCGTTGGCACGAGTACTGAATAGACTGTGCCTGCAGTCACGTCAGGCACGGATTTTTGGCTAGGCACGGCTTTTGAAAAGCCAGGCGCGACGTGCCTGTGGAGTTGTCACGTATCCTTGGCACGCCCTATAAACAAACTACGTACCTATGGTCATTACATCTGACCGCACCATGACAACAGTCATGCCGTCATGGTGACAACAGTCATAGTATGGTCGGGCCCTTAAATTTTGAGAATAAACAATGGGCGACATTCTTACAATTCCTTTATAGTCATGAGTTAAAAATACAATTAACAGGTTGGTTTCCAGTCGAACGTGACGTGGTAATAGAGTGGGATCTTGAGTCGACACCTTTAGAAATTAAATCTAGTGAGCTGGGGAGTAACGATAACGTACTGTATGTGACCTTCTACTCTGCTTGGGGAATGTTTGCAGGAGGACTCTGGCTCGACTTAGCCTCTCCACTATACTCGCTCCAATTCTGCACATCCTTCAAAAAGTTCGCTGTTAATCCCCCCTCTACTGCTGACAAGGTATGGCGTATCACTCTAACCAGAACTGAAGGTGTTAGAGTAGTGGTACACTGTAACGAGGTGGAGGTTCTCAACATACTGCTCTCTCAATCGTGTACTGAAACTAAGTGGAGCAAGTACTGGAACAGGCTTGTGACAAAGATGAAGTTCAGGAAAGCCGACTCAGCATCTGATTACTACAGAGCACAACCAGGTGACTAATAACAACAAGCATTGGTTTAACAAAGTAACAATAACTTTAATTTATAAATAAACCACCTTGCTGATTTTCTCGTAAGTCATAGTATGGTCGGGCCCTTAAATTCTGAGAATAAACTATTGGCGACATTCTTACAATTCCTTTATAGTCATGATAATCCTGGACCAGGCAAAAGTCCCGCTCGACGCTCACATTGGGACATCCGCTCGGTTTCTCGATATAATCCGACTTATATGGTCCTGAATAACACTAATTACTTGGGTACACTTTTTCACCAGTGGGGAATTTCTCGGAATCACGCCCTTTTTGACCGCACCCATATCGCGACCCCAACTATAAATTATCTCGGCTTCTGATTGTGATACAGACCTCAGGCATGAACCAAAATGTGCCTAAGATGCATGTTTATATTAGTGCTATGAAGATACTTAAGGCCTAAGAGAGTTAGTTTTTGAGAAATCGCCAAAAATTCGATTTTACTATATTAGCAGTCTCGCAAGCAACAATTATCACACTTATTTCAAGATATCTCAGCTTCTGATTGGAGCTAAGCGCTCATCTTGGGCATTAAAATGGTCATAATCATCATATTGATAGGGGTAAAGCATGATTTTAAAGTCTTGAGACTTCAGGTTGTTGAGTTATTAGGTCAGATCCCATTTTTATGCTCTCGCGAGTAGCGATTGATGCACTTATTTCAAAATATCTCAGCTTCTGATTGGATCTAAGTGTTCATCTTGGGCATTGAAATGGTCAGAATCATCACATTGAGTGGGGTAGAGCATAGTTTTAAAGTCTTGCGACTTCAGGTTGTTGAGTTATTAGGTCAGATCCCATTTTTACGCTCTCGCGAGTAGCGATTGATGCACTCATTTCAAGATATCTCAGCTTCTGATTGGAGCTAAGCGTTCATCTTGGGCATTGAAATGTTCAAAATCATCACATTGAGTGGGGTAGAGCATAGTTTTAAAGTCCTGAGACTTAAGGTTGTTGAGTTATTAGGTCAGATCCCATTTTTATGCTCTCGCGAGTAGCGATTGATGCACTCATTTCAAGATATCTCAGCTTCTGATTGGAGCTAAGCGTTCATCTTGGGCATTGAAATGGTCAAAATCATCACATTGAGTGGGGTAGAGCATAGTTTTAAAGTCCTGAGACTTAAGGTTGTTGAGTTATTAGGTCAGATCCCATTTTTATGCTCTCTCGAGTAGCGATTGATGCACTCATTTCAAGATATCTCAGCTTCTGATTGGAGCTAAGCGTTTATCTTGGGCATTGAAATGGTCAGAATCATCAGATTGAGTGGGGTAGAGCATAGTTTTAAAGTCTTGAGACTTCAGGTTGTTGAGTTATTAGGTCAGATCCTATTTTTACGCTCTCGCGAGTAGCGATTGATGAACTTATTTCAAGATATCTCAGCTTCTGATTCAGATTGGAGCTAAGCGTTCATCTTGGGCATTGAAATGGTCAGAATCATCTAATTGAGTGGGGTAGAGCATAGTTTTAAAGTCTTGCGACTTCAGGTTGTTGAGTTATTAGGTCAGATCCCATTTTTACGCTCTCGCGAGTAGCGATTGATGAACTTATTTCAAGATATCTCAACTTCTGATTGGAGCTAAGCGTTCATCTTGGGCATTGAAATGGTCAGAATCATCTAATTGAGTGGGGTAGAGCATAGTTTTAAAGTCTTGCGACTTCAGGTTGTTGAGTTATTAGGTCAGATCCCATTTTTACGCTCTCGCGAGTAGCGATTGATAAACTTATTTCAAGATATCTCAACTTCTGATTGGAGCTAAGCGTTCATCTTGGGCATTAAAATAGTCAGAATCATCACATTAAGTGGGGTAGAGCGTGGTTTCAAAGTTTTCAGACTTCAGGTTGTTGAATTATTCGGTTAAAACATATTTTTACACTCTCGCGAGTAGCGATTGACACACTTATTACAAGATATCTTAGCTTCTGATTGAAGCTAAGCGCTTATCATGGGCATTAAAATGGTCAGAATGATCAAATTAGGTGGGGTAATGCATGTTCCTAGGGCTAGAGGTTTTAGTAAAAATTTATTGATATTTCTTGGCAATCGCTACTCAATCACTACTCTAATAACTCAACAACCTGAAGTCTCACGACTTTAAAACTATGCTCTACCCCACTCAATGTGATGATTCTGACCATTTCAATGCCCAAGATGAACGCTTAGCTCCGATCAGAAGCTGAGATATCTTGAAATGAGTGCATCAATCGCTACTCGCGAGAGCATAAAAATGGGATCTGACCTAATAACTCAACAACCTGAAGTCTCAAGACTTTAAAACCATGCTCTACCCTACTCAATATGATGATTCTGACCATTTTAATGCCCAAAATGAGCGCTTAGCTCCAATCAGAAGCTGAGATATCTTGAAATAAGTGTGATAATTGTTACTTGCGAGACTGCTAATATAGTAAAATAGGATTTTTGGCGATTTTTCAAAAACTAAGTCTCTTAGGCCTTAAGTATCTTCATAGCACTAAAATAAACATGCATCTTGGTCTGTATCACAATCAGAAGCCGAGATAATTTATAGTTGGGGTCGCGATATGGGTGCGGTCAAAAAGGGCGTGATTCCGAGAAATGCCCCACTGGTGAAAAAGTGTACCCGAGTAATTAGTGTTATTTAGGACCATATAAGTCGGATTACATCGAGAAACCGAGCGGACGTCCCAATGTGAGCGGGACTTTTGCCTGGTCCAGGATTATGACCCTTGTTGGAAGTTATCATCTCAGCTATGTCTTGTCCTCAGATATATTCCTATAACAATAATTACGTTTAAAGCAGACATACAGTGAGATGAAGTATTTTGTTTAACGGCTAGGGTTAGGGTTGGAGTCAGATTAGAGGGATAAGCTGATAAGGTTTTGAATAGTCGCCAAGAAACACCTAGAGAACGTGTTAAAGTAAGTCACATGATTGTCGAGTGAATAAGAGTTTAAAGTTATAAATTATCATCCCTTCTTAATAATAAGTAATATTTAGAATTGAGCATCCCAATATAAATAAAAAGATGCTTTACATTTTGAACCGTTATAAACATTAAAACAATCAAGAAATTATAAAGTTATAATCGACAGCCAATCAGCGATCTATGACTATGTCATAAGCTGAAATAATTTTGATGAGTACAATTCAAAAAAAGTCCCTTAGCAGAAGGCTAACCTTCGATCTCAATAGTTGAATAAGTTTATCGAGTGACTCAGGTTGAGCAAAACAGCAGTTATTAACTAGGAGAGTTAGAATTAACCCAAATATCAGGAACACGAATGACTACTCCAGGATTTAAGAAACTAAACTTTCAACACTGAAAACATTCAGATTCTTGCCAAATATATTTCGATTGTAGTCATCTCCAGTGACATTGAACCTAAAAAATGTTAAAAGGTTAGTGAAACTCAAGCCGTTACAAAATTAAGAATCCGAAAAAGGTAGAAAGATCATATTAAGGTTTACGGAATATAGGTAATCCAAAGGGATTGACAGTATTAAGGCCAAAAGGTCTAAGAGAATTAAGCAAATGTATGTAGTTATTTTCTTTTACTTCAAGTGTACTGGGACTGCAATTCTCTAAAATAAAAGTTCTAAAAGTTTCATTAAAATCTGTATGTACTCCTAAACCGTGGTCAATCAAATGAACTCCTAGGCTATACTCATCACTAGTAATATCAAATGCTCTACCATCAACGATTTCATAAAATTTGGACCTGTGTACGTCCATCCTTTTATGCAAGCTATTATTAGTCCTACCCACATAGTTTTTCTTACAAATCGAACACTGTACAAGATAGATGATGTTATAGGTCTTGCAACAACCAGGGGCTGATTTGATCTTTTTACCATTTGATGTGATGGAGTCCTTACTCATGATCATTTTACAACACTTGCAGTTTCTTCTGTGACAGGGTTCAGTTTTACCATGTTTAGCACCTAAGGCAAGCTGTTTGGATGTAACGAGGCGAGATCTAAGCGTAGATCCCGTTTTCTTCACAAACTGAAACAGTTTATTTTTTCCTTTCGGTGCTGTGGTGGAGTTTGTGGCTTGCTGACTGTCACTTTCACTAAAACTACGAGTTCGTCTCAAGTGACCTTCGTATTTCTGGACAACATTCACCAAGTCATTGTCACTTCCATAACTGGAGATGACTCTGATTGGTATGGCTGATAGCGGGGATTGTTCATTAGGCTCGACCGTACTCTTCCTGACTAACACTCTTTCCATGCCAAGGACTTTGTTAGCTATGTCGAGTAATCTCCTTTCCCTAATAAGAGCATTTTTACTTGTCGCAACAAGCAAAATGTTTGCGATATTACTCGTCAGCACTCAGCTAGCAGTAGCGCTGGCCAGCGCAATATATCGCGCGAAATCATATAGTATTATAGTTGCGATATTACTCGTCTGTCGTCAGCCAGCGCTGGCAAGCCCAGAAACCCTTACTGGATGGGGCCTAACTTTGAAAGTAAAAGAGTTATAGGGACTTCCGTTTTTTTGCAACATGTTCGTTTTGTAAAAGTAACGTTACCTCCCCAGGAGGAAAATTTAAGACAACGTAGTTGTTGAGTTATCTCAAAATCTCCAGAAAAGTCCCATTTCGGGCCGATCAAAAGTTTGCAACTTTAACTTTGCGGATTCCTGTACTCTGATTGGCTGAATTGTGTCACGTGGTAGCTGCTTGAACATTATTTAGGGAGTATGAAGTAGGGAGTTGAGTGATTATTTTTCTGTTGACTAAATTATAAAAACCACACTTTCAGTTGATGGAGGGTGGAGTGATTACAGCAAATGGGGTGCTTGCTCAGTAGGTTGTGGAAAAGGGACAACGACCCGGTCCAAAACCTGCAATAACCCACCTCCAGCCAGAGGTGGAAAAGATTGTGGTGGTGAAGCAGTTGAATCGAAGGAATGCATGAACAAAGCTGAATTTCCTGGTACTAAACCATAAACTAAACTTTATAACTTATAAGTGGCACTTCTTAAATTTGTTGTTGAAAATTAAATATGCACAAAATATTCGCACTGAATATACGCATTATGTGCACCAAATATACAAGCATTAATTTGAATGGCCACTATAGTCAATTTACTTGTATGAGTGAGTGATACATAAACAATTAGATTGATGTTTTACCTTTTATTTAGGCCTACAAATAAATTTGCTTTGGCGGCCAAATTCTGAAATTTAATATTTGATGGTTCAATTAAAAGTAATTTCAACAGGTTCAGGTTCCACTCCAGTTCCAATGGTAGCAATGGTGACCTCTGGAGTTGCAGTTACTGCTAAATGGCAAGCTATACCAGGAAGTCTGACTCGTATCTCCATTGGAAGATCTGGCGTGTGGGGTGTTAAAAGGGGAAGTAAGGTCTACAAGCTTAACGGAAAAAGCTGGACTCGAATACCTGGTAGATTTGATCACATTTCGTCTGGTTCGTCTGTATGGGGAGTCACGAGGAGATTTGGTAGCCTTTTTTATAGAGATGCGGGTCACAACAAATGGCAGGGAGTACGTGGTTACCTTTTTTCCAATCTTGATGTCAGTGACAACGGTCATGTTTGGGGAGTTTAAAAAAATCAGGATATCTATAGATGGACTGGAAAGAACTGGCAGCAAATTGGAGGAAAGGCTATACAAGTTACCGTGGGACCATCTGGAGTTTGGATAGTCGACAGAGCAAATAATATTTACTATCGAAAAGGAACATATGGAGATAGCAATACTGCTGGATCTGAATGGATCCAAATTTGTGGCAACTTGAAGTGGATATCGTCTGGTAGGAATATTGTTGTTGGTGTTGACTCTGGCAACAACATTTACTACCGTAAAGGAATGAGTGCTCCAAGACCGACAGGTACTGGATGGGTACAGATACCTGGAAAATTGATGCAGATAGATATCTATGGAGATGAAATTGTTGGAGTGGACACTGGACATGTAATCTACAAATTTCCTGTTTCTGGAATACCTGCAGTCGGTATGTAAGCGAGTATATTGATGTCAATAAGTGCTCATATGTATGTTTACTGGTTGAAGCATTACCTTTTAGAATTTTAGGACCAATTCTGTAATTTTGAATGGGGAGGTTGATAAAATAGTCGTATATCATTTTTTAAGCGCTTAAAGTCTTGTTGAAAATAATTTTGTGTGCTCCTAGTAATCTTATATATTATTTAACTTTTTCTTAAAAACTTGCTTTCACAAATTTCACTCTTTAGGAGCAATAATCCCAAAAACTCATTTGACTTGAGTGTGAAGACTGCCTATATCCTACAAATACCGATACTAGAGCTCCCATGTCTAGTTAGTTAGTAAGTAAGTAAGTAAGTAAGTAAGTAAGTAAGTAAGTAAGTAAGTAAGTAAGTAAGTAAGTAAGTAAGTAAGTAAGTAAGTTAGTTAGTAAGTAAGTAAGTAAGTAAGTAAGTAAGTAAGTAAGTAAGTAAGTAAGTAAGTAAGTAAGTAAGTAAGTAAGTAAGTAAGTAAGTAAGTAAGTAAGTAAGTAAGTAAGTAAGTAAGTAAGTAAGTAAGTAAGTAAGTAAGTAAGTAAGTAAGTAAGTAAGTAAGTAAGTAAGTAAGTAAGTAAGTAAGTAAGTAAGTAAGTAAGTAAGTAAGTAAGTAAGTAAGTAAGTAAGTAAGTAAGTAAGTAAGTAAGTAAGTAAGTAAGTAAGTAAGTAAGTAAGTAAGTAAGTAAGTAAGTAAGTAAGTAAGTAAGTAAGTAAGTAAGTAAGTAAGTAAGTAAGTAAGTAAGTAAGTAAGTAAGTAAGTAAGTAAGTAAGTAAGTAAGTAAGTAAGTAAGTAAGTAAGTAAGTAAGTAAGTAAGTAAGTAAGTTAATGTGGAGAAGGCCTGTGCCCTGCAAGCCGCTAGTCGGATCCCCACTTCCCCTCCGAGTACCTAAGTGGAAGTGGAACTTCCCTCACGATAAGTTACGGACCCCAATTATCTAGAAGCCTTAGTCCTAAAACTCCCGCCGATTAATTGAGACCGTTGACCCAGTTAGTGACAGGAACCAGGCACCGAGTAACCCCTTCTTCTAGTTCCACTACCATCCCTGTAGGAGACGGCTGGCCTACCCAAAAACCCTCAACACCCAGGGCCCTGTGTAATTAAGTGATAGATTCCACAGATTAACTAGCTGACCAATCCCCTAAGACTAGGACCACCTCCGTAATTAAGGACAGCAATTCACCTAGACTGTAAAGTCGTGTCCACCAATAAGGATAGAAATTCCCCAGAACTCTTGAGCAGTCCCCGTAATTAAGGAGTTAGCGGCGTGCCGGAGCGAGTGAAACCTCGCGGAGGACGGCATTATTGCGGAGTTCTCATCTTTGCCACTTTGAGTACGGAGTGTCTCCTCCCTTTTGGCTTGCCATAGGCAGCCCCATCCTCATGTTAATGCCTAATAGTGTTATTTTTACGTTTGTTTTGTAGTAACCATTCTTTAGTATATTTACCATCATGTTGGTAGGTTTATTCCAACATCCCCAAATTCCCGTCTCTCAATCGTCCAAGTAGCTGGCACTGAAACTTTCAGTCCAGCATGTGAACTAAAGTAACTCAAACAAACCCGTGCTTGTCACGATGACTCAAAAGTACAAAGTATTCTAAAATGATACCGATTCCGGTCATGACATCTAAATTATGAATGAAATTATGAATCAAGTTGTGAATTAAACTATCATTGAAATTAAAGGCCGTTAACCCATCTCCTACACTCTTGCCTCTTCCTCGACTGATCGGCCTGTCGTCAGGCCTTTGGCCCAGAACGCAAGGCCTCGTGAACCCTCGTGTCGTAACCGGTCTACAGGAACCAGGCCCTGTATATGCCTAGCCGTTTGTCTGGCTAGGCTGGAGCCTTACAAATACGGAGACTCGACACCTTGTGATGGCACGGACTAAGAACACCAGTTCCGTCCTTACAAATTGAAATCCAGATACCGGACTCAACGCTGTTCGCGACGACAGACCCGATCTCCTAAAAAGGTAAGAACTTAACTTCATTCCAAATCTAAGGCATGCTAATCAAACCCTAAAACCAAGTATAAGTTAATAACCGACCTAGTTAACGCATCACCACGTAACTGTGATTATTATCACCACCTAACTGTGATTATTACTTGATACTCAATTTTCTAATGACAATTTAGTTAAGGACCAATTGCATGACTTTTCGGTACCATTTGCATGAGAGTTTACACTCTTGCACAACAACTCACCAGCATTTTGTACAAAACTTAGTACACCTGCATGAATTGCATATTTTAAAATTACAAAACCTATTATTTTAGCATGAATTTCAGGAAAATTGTTTTTTCGTTGTTACAGGAAATCCTATACTTCCCCGTTAAGTTTTAGGAACTATTCTTCTGCAATTGTATCAGACCACCCCCACAACATGAGTAACATTAAGTTAGTACCCACAGGTTAACTTAAGCCCCGTACAACCCCATGGCCACTACCCAAACCCCCAATTTGGTTGTTCTCATTTTTAAATGTATCACTCTAAACAACGCAACACACATTTTAAGCACAACACTAGGGTAAAGCCAGTAATAACTGTACTATGAACATAACAAAATAAGATGCCAAGTTGTGATATAAAACTAAATACTATAAATACATAAATACATCAAGCATCACGTGACTAAACCGGTTCTAAATTCATGCACGTACAGCCGTATAAGCTAAAAATAATGAAACATAAAACTCGTGCAGTAAGTATGGTTCTGTTATAAAAATCATAACAAATTCTCCGTCTGCTTTGATATAGGGACCTCAAATTCTAGTAGGACGTCGCAGGAAGTCACTTCAGCCGCCATAACTGGCAGCCACAGTAGGCTACTCGCTCACCAGCAAGAAATCAACAACATAGTTATCGATCAATAACGTCAGCGTCTTCATTGGCCCCAGAGACTCCATATCAACATCCATATTATGTAGTCGAAGAAGTAACAAATTCTATTCAATCAAACAGGTAAGAAATGAACAACCCAAGCTATATCAAAAGATGAGCACCTAACCATATATATACACATATTTACAATTGGGCTCTCCATAACAGGATCACGCAAAGAGGGATCGGCTGACTGCTCAAAATAAGGTGAAACGGGAAACCGACTTGAAACCCTACCTGTCCCTGATGGTAATACACAAAACACTTGGCGTAATAACTGTTAATGAGACCATCGGGATCACACCTTAATCAAGCCTACACAATTGAGCAATAATAGACACAAAACACTAGTCGTGAAGCAACTATCGAAATAATTACTAAGAGTAAACTACATTGATTTTAAACCTTTAAAAAATAATCCAACAGAATGTCTCTTTCGCATTGTTACCCCCTTATGTATGCCATTGTATAAACCACCATGCGTGTTTGGCGAGTACTGGCACCTACTCATCCCCACCAATAAGTAAGCACTAATAACTGTTGATCTGCAAACTTATTCCACCTTGTTAGTTAAATCGTACAAACATGTTATAATATAAACGCTGTCGAGCACTTGGCTTGCCGCCGCAATTTCACTTGAACTTTATTACCGGGTAAGTAAGGTATAATATTAATATATTATTAAGTATAAGTTAAACCGCTATTAAAGAGCGACGCCGTCAGATGGACGAAGAATAAGTTAAGATACCGTTAACGATGCCTGCCAGAATTAGAGTAAGAGCGAAGTATTTATATTGTTAATGATGCCGTCAAAGGGACGAAGTATAAGCTAGACAGCCCGCTAAAGGGCCATGCCGTCAGAGGGACGAAGACTAAGTTAGACCGTTATTAAAGAGCGACGCCGTCAGATGGACGAGGAATAAGTTATACCGTTAACGATGCCGCCAGAGAGTGAGAATAACGCCGTCAGATGGACGAGGAATAAGTTATACCGTTAACGATGCCGCCAGAGAGTGAGAATAACGCCGTCAAAAAGGACGAGGAATAAGTTATACCGTTAACGATGTCGCCAGAGAGTGAGAATAACGCCGTCAAAAAAAGGACGAAGTTATAATGTATAACTAAGCATGTAAGACAATTGACTTACTCGGTAATAAATATATATGATCATAGCAAAACCACATCACCCTGCTTGTATTTTAATGAAATTGTAAACCATAACCACAAAATTTCCTAGAAACATGACTTTCCAAGTAAAACAAATTTTTTTAGTAAAACAAATTTTATTTTATTATTTATACCCACAATCAACTCATATTTTAATTTAGTTCAAATATTTAATGCGTCGAAATAACCATTTCACATAAGTGGTTATATTATAATAAAATAATTTGTGATAAATTAATAAATTAATTTTCACTCAAAAATGAACAAAATATACACAATTTTTATTTGTATCACGTGGTGACCCCCACGGTCGCTTCGACGATACAGGAGGAGCCGCGCACTTCGTGCGCGGCGGGTCATACAACGTATGAGTATGACAAGTTCCACCTACCCCGGAACATAAATTCACTACGGGGGTAAAGATTTTCGGTCTTGATTTTACCTGGATTTCAGTAATTTTGGGATGGGCGTGGTTTGGGTCAAGTACTAACTATTTAACCACCAAAACATGTTCCACCTACCCTGGAACATAAATTAGTGTAAAATAAGATGGCACCAGACCAGTCCTCCCGAGGCGTACCGATGGTCTACAGTGCCTGCTCACAAAGGTGTACTCACAATATACACTACTCACTCAGTCGTTCTTAGCGACTGACAACCGCAATAACTCACAATATCTAAGTATTGAACTCTACGTTAATATAACAAATACGATATTCTAGTACCGTACACGGAATTAACAGAAAGGGATACTAAGGTGTTAATATCGAGAATATGAATCAAATGGGAAATATAAACTCGTTACGAACGCTAGTAGAAACACTAAACTCTTAGAACTTGCACTTACTCTGAATTGACTGAAACACGATCTTCGAGTATCGAAAGCTTACTAATTTACCCCACACGGAAATAGGTGAGGCAACTTTAATTTGAACGGTATAATGTGGTACAATTCATTCCTACGCTAGAGTTGAACAAAGGAAACAGTTGAATCGAGTAATAACGTTCGAATGATGAATATAAAGATATTATCAACAATCACAACTTAAACTGTGGCAAGACGGGCCACGTTGGGCGTTCTAGATCAGCGGTTAACACTTTGATTAAACACGTCACCTAAAGAGCTTTTCCAGAACTGACTCCAACGTGTCCAGAACTGCGTTAACGACCCGCGCCACGTGATACCACGTGGTCACCCACGTGGTACCGCGCGGCTCGGCCCAGCCATAAAACTATAACAAAACCTACACGCCCGACTATCACGTGCCCTACTTTACACAAATCTCTAAGCCTAACTACTCTAAATCTACACTAATCCTAACGGTTTTTCTTCACTTAACTGCAATATCCTAACTAAAACATGACTACTAAACTCTGCTTAAAGATCGCTGCAACCAGCCTACACATTACACTAAAATGCACTACGAGGGTAAAAATTTTCGGTCTTGATTTCACCTGGATTTTTTATTTTTTTAAAATTTTTTTATTTCTTTCTAATTTTTAAAAATTTTTGTTGTTTGTTTTTAAAGTTGACTCATATGGGACACCATACTCGTTACCATGGTAACTACGCAACTTCCTATTATTATCGTCTGATTTGCACGTGGGCGGTCGTACATACAGACACTAGACAGACAAAAATAATTTTTTGAATTATGGTAAAGATAATTTTCTGAATTAAAGTAGAAATAAATTTGTTGTTAAAAATTAAATATGCACAAAATATTTTCACTGAATATACACATTATGTGCACCAAATATACAAGCATTAATTTGAATGGCCACTATTACTATAGTCAATTAACTTGTATCCCTGCAATCTTTGTCATACGTTGTATGACCCGCCGCGCACGAGTGCGCGGCTCCCCTGTATCGTCAGGACGATAAAGGGATTTCTCGTGCGGCTTGACCATTGTTAATGGTCTGGCCCGGCGCACGCTACTTTGTAGCACTTGCCATCAGGCCAGACATTTCGAGAAGAAAGCGGCGCGCGCTACTTCGAAGAAATTTAGACGAGTAATATCCGTCAAGGTGGAGGTTACCAGTGCGACAAGAAAACTGCCTGTTCATGGTCTTGTCACGGTGGAAAATGCTGGGAGTAAAGATACAGTTAAACTGCGAAGGCACAACACCAAACCAACCTTACTCTATCTCCCAAAAACAACCTTCTCCTGGTCAGCCATGTCCCTCATCCTGCACTTGACCCCCGCAGAGGTCACAAGCCCATCGGAGCACAAATGAGCGAGAAACGGGGAAGCCTTAGCTACCGGGCTAAGGACTGCATCACTAGCAGCGAAATACGGATATACCCTCCCTTTTACATGCGTTCAACCGGCACCCGAACCACACGCTGTTTCTTAGACATAACTTCCCACTTACATCAGTGTCTTCTCGCATCAACTGGCATCGGCAAGTGGCGACACTGTGTAGACTCAACCCTGAGCTTGATCAGAATCTTCAGTCACAAACCTGACACCGTTTCGGGGCTTTCATTGCGATACGGTTTTCTGTCAGGTGCCCCAGCAGTCTCTCTTGGACCACCATCTGATCTGACAATCACCCGAGGATACCTGCTAGAGCTCGCGATTTACGACGAGTTAGCTTATGGCACCTCTGGCTGTTAGGTGAAGTCATAAAGCTCAAACAGCTCTCATCTCCCACTCTCTTTTCCTAGACAGCAGATAAATCCATCTTGAACAATGGGCTGCATCCTTCCCACAATCTCTGACCAACTTCTTGAGGGCTCTCCCAGTCAGACCAATCTTCCTTGATGCACACTCCAAACTTGCTGCGACCACACCTCTAGCACCAACCTCAACAGCAAAGCTGAAACATGACCACCCATTAGCTTGTATTTCCGCTTGTAGACTGTTATACCGATCAAGCTTCAGCTCATGGGATGCAGCTATTCTCTCTTCCGACGGTACTGTAAGCTCCCACCAGATTACTCTCTTGGAAGCTTTCGAGAAAAGAACCAAATCTGGTCTTAATCTGGTCGTTGCTATATCCGACGGGAATTTCAGCTGCTCATCCAGGTCTGCTAATACTATCCAATCAGTGGCCCCACTCAGAATCCCAAACTCACTGACTTTCGACC